TTTATATATGTTTATGAAAACAAAATCGTACATTAAAACAGAGATGTACAAATCCCAGGAGCTCCGTGTGCTCCTTACAAATGACAGCTGCCTCCTAACTTTTGAATTTTTCTCTAGTGTAGTCTTGGAGCTGGAAAAGTATCTGTACTTGTACCGAGTACAGTACTTGGTATTGGTGCATCCCTAATATGTATAATATGAAATATGCCCACAAAACAGCCAGCTTTAGAGACCGACAACAGATGCTACAAAGTAGTGGATTCTCTTCAAACCAAAAGTATATGTAAATACAAAGTATCATCAGCCAGGATCTCAGGATGAAATGTAAACATTTTATTTATACACATTAAGAGATCCCTTGAAAAAGCTGGTACTGCCAACGAAACGTTGAGGTGAAACTGTGCTGTATGGAAGGTACAGAGCTCCAACATAATTCCTATTTTTGCTAGGCACTCTGTATAGCCAGCATGGAACATGAAACTTGGTTTGCCTTAAGCCAGCTTTACACTGTATGAACTGCAGCTGTTTTTTGATGAACCAGCTGAAATTCGTTCAGTGGGTGGCCCTGTTGCCACCCTTGCCTACAGCATCCTTCAATCAGAAAACCGAAGGAGCCGAATGGAAATTTTCAGGCGATTCTAACAACAGCACTCCTGCCTCTGTCAGAATACAATAGCCCAGCAGGAGATTCGTCCATCCAGGCTGTTGAACGAAGAAAAGATAACAGTGTATGGCCAGCTTAAAGGAGAACTATGGGGTCAGGGCTTTTCCCCATAGTTCTCCTTAGGGTAATGGGAGGACACAAACTAGCGTCCTTCCGTCACCCTAAGCCCAGTATACCGCGAGCTACAGCTCGCGGTATACTGAGACGCCGCAGCCGGAGCTGATCCCGACATCGATGTCGAGATCCGCCCAGCTCTGTGAGTGACAGCTGGCTCTGCCTATCTAGAGGCAAAGCCAGCTGTACCCGCCCCCTCCCCCATCCGTTCCGCCAGTCAGCGCTGGCATGTGTTCGCTCACCTCCCGATCTACTGAGCCGACCTGTGACAGTCTCATTGTCACAGGGCGGCTAGAACTATGAGGGGAGTGAAAAGCACTCACCTCATAGTTCTCCTTTAAGACTGTGAACGAGGGAATTATAAGAGGTACAGGTTCCCGAGCTGGCTGGACCCAGGAGCAGGTGTTTCCGGCTGACAAGCAGACTTCATGACAATGCTGATGGTCCTTCAAAGGGGATCTTCTGGGAGCCTAAAACCACTCCCACTTTACAAGAATTGCAGTATATGGAATATGACATAAAGTTGTCTATGTCAAAAGGATACTGGGTAATATATATAATTTGCTTTATGTGGATCAACAAGATAGCCTTTCAACTCACAACTATTGATAAGATCCACGGACCAGTGTGCTGACTAGTAAAAAGGGGTTGATTCATGTTAGACATGCTTTGGATGTGTTTTTAGGATATGTTTTCATTTTATTCTGAAAATCTGGCTGATAATCCTTGTGGGTTGATTTGCTGAAGGCAAATAGGCTGTTCACTTTGCATGGGAGTTTTCATTTTGCAGGGGAAGTTTCTCCTTAGCTAGGAAAATGTGGTGAAAACTCACTTTGCAAAGAATACCCAATCACAGACCAGCAAAATAATAAAAATAAAAACATAAAACAGGTTTTTGCTTGCACATGATTGGATGATGGAAGTCAGCAGAGCTTCACCGCATTCACTGAGCGCAGGGAAAATTCCCTTACAAAGTGAAGATTTCCCTGTTCCTTTAGAATATCAACCCCACTGTATTCGCATATAATACTGTCTTGAAGAGAATCCACTATTATATAGTATCTGTTCTAGGGTCACATCACTAAAGTGGGCTGTTTTTTCGTTGGTTATATTGTCCACTGACCACTGATTGCACACATAGTGGATTTTGCCTCTGCTTTTTTAAGAGTGAAGGAGGATTATAATACAAATGAATATATCTCATCTTTCCTTGATGCAAGTAGTATTGTGTATATAATATGAAATATGGATAATGCACAATTTGGAAATGTTTGCATTAAAAAATATACTTTAGTTCTGCTTTGAATATTGATATAAATTCTTTATTTTACAGAAAGGGGTTGGTTTATAAATCCTCTGGCCAGCGTGTAGCTGGGTTAATGCCATTCGCTTGGAACTACTGCCACTAGATGGCGCTGAGGAGCATAAGGAATTACTATGCTCCTCAGCACTATCTAGTGTCAGGGATACACTGGGCAGAAAATGTAAAAATTAGCCCCATAACATTTTTATTACAAGGTGCATCCCTGACATGACAGTTTGCTGAGCATCTTCTATAATAAAAATAATTAGTTTGCATTTACAAACACAAGAACACCATAGCAGGAGAGACAGACACTTTTTAGAGAAAGGCTGGGGTAAACCCTAAAAGTCGTCGTAGCTATAAGCTGTCTGTCATTCATAAAGCAACTCTGTGGCTTGAAACAAGATTCCATTACAAAGTGCCTGCAGAAAAAGCCTCTGAATACTTAACTTTCTTTCAAGCATTACTGCAAAATCTTTAGCATTTGACACTTCTGGGAGTGTTGGACGCCTATGTCCCCCACCACACATCAGTGGTTCCATCTGCCAGCACTTAAACAATACAGCACACAGTAGTGACGCAACTTCCGATTGATGGGACCATTTAGCTCAGTGGGGGACCAAGCATTTAACACTGGAAAGTATTCCAGATATGAAGATTCTGCTGAAGGTTATATCATTTGAGCGAAGGTTTGACTCACCACCCAGCGAATACGTCAATATTTAGAGGCAACTTTAACAGGCACCTTTTATGGGAATTTTTTTTTAGAAGCAACAGATTTGTAGGTTTAACTTCATCCAAATTGAAATGTTTTTGGCTTTGTGCAGTGTATTTTTGTGTGGGTCCTTCTTGACCACATTCACCAGGACAGGAATTTGCAAGATTGTCCCTAAAATGAGCACTAAAAAGCATGACAGATGTTTTACCCCACAATGAAAAGAAAAAAAATACTGATTTCTGTTTACCCCCAAAAAATGTTTGCCCTTCTCATCGACATTAAAAATAAGAAAACAAAAGTTTTTGTTGAAGTTCTAGTTTAATAGAATACTAAATGATTTTTACTAGAGATAATAGATACCGTAATTGTATTTAAAAACATAATAGCAATGAACAAGATCAGTGTACCTAACAATTACATCCAACTCACATATTAAAACTTTTTTAGTAATTCATTTGTGAATTGTGAATTTAATTATTTACCCCCCTGATTTGTTAACAAATCAAGTTTTATGTAAAGGGCACAAAATAAAAAAAGACATGAGGATGTTTGAAAAGAATATGTACAAATCATTGATACAGGTTAACATACACATCATAGAACAACAATGATAAAATACAAGGCAATAGACAGTTGAATGAATAAACCAGAGCAATTTAGAAGTCTATGCTGTCCATATGTATAGAGGTATCTTGTCATATATCTTGCTTATATTTTATTTTTGCGAGGTGATTAAAAATAAGTCCACTCTATGGAAACTGTTCTGTTACCTTTTTTTTTCAAGATTCACTTTACCACATTTCCTGCAATAAAGGTAACATAACTGTAAGTTATCATGTATTCCAACAAGTCGATCTATGAAACAGCTGTATGACCTATGCTTTACAAAAACTGCCTTGCACAGCGGTCTGCCCTATAAATTTGCTCTCCACTTTGCTCACTCTCTGAAGGAATCAAAGCTGTATGAGGGGGGAAAAAGTTCCAGAAGGAGGAGAAATCCTGTAACATGATTTTGACAGTGACATTGATGGCTATCCTTATATGCCCGAGTGTTATATTCAGCATTATGCAAACTGCGCTCCATAGGACACCACAGGCTCCACACTGCACTCTGCATTTAAAGTGACACTAAACTCAGGAGTTAAATCTTAAAAATGCATTCAAGTGCCTTAAGTATTAACAGAAATGTATCTTATTTGTGTATCACTCAGCTTTAGATCCTCAAATCATCTCTGAATTGTTGCCGACACCGTCCTTCCTTCTGGAGTTAGTCTCTACTATTGTTCTCCATGGTCCCTGTGTGTTGTAAAGTAGTCACTGCTCCAAGCTCACTCCTGTGATGGACTACAATCTCATGTTTCGTTTACTAATTTGTATTGAGATTGTAGTCCATCACGGATTGTAGTCCATAAGCTGCTCTGGGCAACGTATCCACATTTTGTGCAGCATTTCTACTGAAGTGAAATCTGCAGTATTTTCCACCATTTTCTTTTCTTATGCAGAACTATTTTAGATTTTACCTTACCACTCTTAAACCAAAGATGATTTGTTATTTTTAGTGGAGGAAGATGACGATAAAACTTCCCCCCAAGTAGAATAGCATTGCATCTTGCAAAATGTCACCCCATCCCTTCTACTTTCACTATGTTGTTGCAAGCTCCTGGGCTTTCATCCCTGTTTTTGCTTTTTCCACCTATTGTGTTACTGACTTCTGGTGTGTACATGCATGTCCCAAGTCTATATCTCGCTAAGTAGAAAAAGGAGAATATTATTGGAGCCTTTGTGTGTATTGTATTGCTTGGAAAGAAATAGGATCATAGAACTTTGGGATTTATGAGATCTTTTTTTAGATCAGAAGGGTCAAGTCTTTTTTTTATTATAGCTTTCTCTGTGAGCACAAGGTGTGGATTGGATCATTCACAGGGGTGCAGGAGGACATTTCACAAGAAGATATACACAGACTTATTACTTGAAACTAGTTGGACATTTACTTGTGGTTTTACACGGTTACTTGGTAATCAAAAGGACATCTTTTGGTTTGCACTAATACCTAATAATGGAAAAGACATCTTTTGTATATATTATTTCTTTACATGATATGCATGCATAAGATTAAATGCACATATAATCTTATGGCAAGAATTTTGTTGAAATTAATGGTTTGCAGCAGGGTCTCTTTAAATGTTCTTCCTACCTCTAGTTCAAGAAGGCAGGACCTCCACATAGTCTCTTTCATCAACCTCTGCAACAGAGAAATTACATCAGTGCACAGTATAAATGGTGCTGATAAACATTAAAGTGAAGTTCATACATGTATTGTAGTCAATGGAGGATCACCCTCGAGGAGAGATAGGCAGCAGAACCTGAGACTACCCTTCAGCATCAGCATTTGCCAGTTCCCCTGTATTACAGCTCCTCATTTGTTCTCCTTAACAAAAAGTAATGCAGATATCTTCCTTTAACTGACATGATGTCCACTTTGTGGTTCCAGTTAGAACTGATTATTCAAAAGCTGGCTGAGGGTGCACAAAGCAAATCCAATCAATTATGAGGAGAACCGCATAGAAACTTTGTGGAGGATGGATGTGCCCTACACAATTAAATAGACATTTAGACCAGACACATGGTAACTGCAAGAAGCTGCATGCGTGTGGACAGCCTAGTAAAGAAAAAGCTACAGCTTTCAGGATTTACAAGAGAAAGAGAGTATTCTGAAGACTCAGCATTGACACTAACTTCCATAGCGTAATATCACTGCTCCTTCAGTGCAGCACCAGAGAGAATGGCGGGTGCTCCAGCATCATTCTGTAAGTATTAGCATTGACACTGTTATTTGTTTAACCCTAATACTCACACAGCACATCATGAAAGCATATGTCAAGGCAAATGTGTGTGTGTGTGGGGGGTGGAGAAGGGGGTTACAATTTGCTCTCCAAGTTAGGTATGTTATTGAGGAAGTGGTGGGGCTGGCCTTGTATGGCATGGGTCTTTGTATGCCCGAGTTTAAAAAGAGCTTACTGCAGTATAAGAAAGCAACATAGCGGGGTGTAAAGCGCACAGTCATTGAAATATTTTGGTAGAGATGCTTATGTGGAAGGTAGTGTGAGAAATTAACTTCTAACCTGAATAGGTCCATGTCTGGCTGACTGTATTTTTTTGTCTACATAATTATTCTAAAAATACATTGCAAAACAAACGAAGGACTGCCATGTAATATAACTCAGACACATCTTCTATAATTGTCTGTTGCCTTGACAACTTCTCCATTGGCTAACTATTGCAATTGACCACTCTGTGTAATGGGCAACCTCAATGGCCAATTTGTAATAGGGGACAGGGATCTAGAGAAGAAGTTGATATATGCATAACAGATCAACCTAGACAACAGGGCACCCAGGTGCTCTGAAGAGAACTTGAAGTATGCAAGTTTTTTTGTTTTTTGTTTTGGTCACAAACTAGGCTATACCGCTAAAATTATGAATAAAGAAAGAGACGTGAAGAAACCTCTCTCAGTGTGATTGTTGCCACTGCAGCTGTTACCTGGAGTGCACTGCTATACTTCCAAAGGTGCCTAAATGATTCAAACAGTAAAGCCCTCCAGCACATCCAAGTACATCCTCTGTAAAAGGTACAGGTTTATTAAAAAAGCAGTAATACGTGCTCACATGTTTCTGACAAAAAGGCCTTGTTCATAGTAATAATCACTGTGAATTTTCTGTCTGCAGCATGTAAAAGTGTAATTTAATGTTTTCAATAATCATGGATCTTTTATGGAAAATATACTTGAATGTGCTAGCGATTTACTTTTTTGGACCCACGACTGGGAACCAGTTTTATACTTTCATAGTGAAATACCTGCATATGTGTCTTCCAGTAGAAGCATGTGTTTGATCGTTCCATTGACATGAATTTGAATTTGTTCAGCTTCATTTTTGTTTACAGGGATGCTCAAGAAATGCATCAATCCTTTGTTAGGTTTTTCATAATAGGCGATGAGGTCCTTCAGGTTGTGGAAATATTTTTCTTTCACGCCCTCAGCTGTCTAGATGACAAAATGATTTATCAGCCATAATTTGATTTTGTAGATTACCTGTCTTGTTTGTGGTAACCAATAAACGTCCAGTAAATATTCAGTAATTACAGCAACCCTAAATAAGGTGCAAGGTCACCTTTTTTTTGGGAGATTTGACAACATGCATTGAGCAGCTTTAGGCAACATGCATTGAGCAGCTTTGAGTTCGTCACCCTGCAAATATCTGTGAACATTATTTTTTGTTACATAATATTTTTTTCCCCGGTTTGAATGTAATATATATACATTATGCTCACTAAATAGAGCTGAGGAGCACAGGAAAAAAGTAAGAAGGGCCCCCAGGATTGTTTATAAATGTCTTATGTCTCTGTGTCTTAGCATAGTGTCAGTGGCGGACCTACAGCCGATGCAGCCAGTGCGCCGCTGGGGCCTCAGCCTGGGGGGGCCCAGCACAGTCCCTGTGCATAGATGTCGGCCGCCGGATAGCATCGGATCGTATGCATCTGCCGACGGGCCCCCCGTCTCTGCGCCGGGAGTGTCAGATCATCCATTCATCCGAGATGGGGGGCCCGCCAGCTGCCGGATAGTGATCTCAACATCTGACACTCCAACGCGCTGAAATGGGGGGTGCGCGCCGGATACCGAGGGAGCCCGGGAACAAGGAGGAACTGAAGACGGCCCTGCAGGCACATCATGGAGCAGCCATGGGGCCTCGGACAGCTGTGAGGACCCAGAGAACAGAACACACACTGGGTTTTTCTGCAGCCTGAGTCCCCCGCCAGGAAACAGAAGACCAGCCAGAAGAGGTAAAGGTAAATTATTCATTAAAATAATTATTATTTGTAGCCTAATGTTGTATACAGTACTGTTGGTATTTGTAGTGCTCTATAGCAGGTGCCATTCTGCATTGCAGCATTGCAGAATGGCACCCTCTATAGAGGACTACAAATCTCAGCAGTACTTTATACAGAAATGCTGTTGTTGTATAAGGTATTGCTGGGATGTGTAGTCCTCTATAGCCTGTGTCATTCTGCATTGCTGTAAATATGGATACACCCATGGCCAAAACTAGGGGGGGGTTCCAGGGGAGGCATGTGCCCCAGGCGCTGCATTATGGGTGGGTGCCACCAGCAGGGTAACTACCGCACGAGCCTGGGGGAGAGGGGCCAGGACTGGATCAAACTGCACGCCCCGCCATTCACCCCAGCCTTATGCGCAGGGGCAGACCTACCGCCTGCGCAGCCGGTGCGTGAGCCTGGGAGGGGGCCAGCACAGTCTCTGCGCAGAGATGGTGGGGCTTGCCGGCCGCCGGATAGCATTGGCGGGCCCCCCGTCTCTGTGCCAGGAGTGTCGGATCATCTGTTTGTGTTTTTTTTTTTTGGGGGGGGGGGCCCACAAAAAAATCTTGCACCAGGGCCCTTTGTTCCTTAAGTCTGCCACGGCATAGTGTTAATTAAAGGCCATTCTATTGCCTGGTAGTAATCAAGTCCTGGTAATGTGTACATGTGAGGGAACATTTACAAGTGAGTGTGATCCTTTGATAGGATGTGTGAGTGGAGAAACTACAATTTCCATCAGCCATTGTGGCAGAGGGGCCGAGGAAGAGTCTGCAGGAGCCAGGGCATTGCACCTGCGATCCACTAGCCATGGCTGCAATGCTTTACTGGTTCCTATATGCAAAAAAAAAAGAAAAACCCCCAAAATCAATCTTTTATGAAGACGCATGCATTTATTATGAGTCGATGGCTCAGAAAATATTACAGCTTGTAGGTCAACATAACAGCCAGACAACTAATTTACAGAGGGAGGGCAATAGACCCCACATGTCTTGCATCACAGGTGTGCTTTGTTTATTAATTGGCAGTAAGTAGCAAGACAAGATTATAGAAATTAGGTTTAAAAAAAATGCTACTTTATGAATGCCATTTATGCAAATGTTTTGAGAATTTTATATAAGAGCATTTTAAATAGAAGAATATTTATGATTACATATAATATGTAATAGCATACCTTACCTGAACCATATATTGTCCATGACTGTTTTGGAAAATTCTGTATGTATAGATTATTCTTCCAACCCTATAAATGAGGAAAAAAAACTATCAAATAATGTACTAACTAGAAGAGAATGTTTGTATTTGAACTGAAAGTGTTCTGCATTTTGGGGATGCTGTTGGGAATAATGTATTACATAGTTACATCGTATTTGAGGTTGAATAAAAACACAGGTCCATTAAGTTCAACCCTTGTGTGTCTGCATATGATTGTGCATGTGTGTGTCTGTGTGTACACGAGTCCCTGTGTGGTCCAGTTTTTAAGAGTAACTGTACCCCTGTATGTTACGGTCTCTGAGGAAGGTATCTAAATGCTTTTAGAATGATTCAATGCTCTCAGCTGATGCCACTGCTTGTGGCAGTGAGTTCCAAATTGTAACCGCTCTAACTGAGAAAAAGCCCCTACGGCACTTCTGGTAAAATCTTTTCTCCACCAGTTTTAGGTGGTGGCCTCTAGTCTTTGTTACAGAGTTTACTGTAAACAGTTTATTGCTGATGTTGCCATCACCACTAAACATTTTGTACATCAAAATCATGTCCCCTCTTAAAGGAGAACTATGGGGTTAAGGCTTTTCCCCATAGTTCTCCTTAGGGTAACGGGAGGACACAAACTGGCGTCCTCCCGTCACCCTAGGCTCAGTTGTGTAACTAGCGTCCTCCCGTCACCCAAGGCACAATTGTGCCGGGATCCGCCCAGCTGCGTGACTGACAGCTGGCTCTGCCTATCTAGAGGCAGAGCCAGCTGTACCCGCCCCCTCCTCCGTCCGTTCCACCAGTCAGCGCTGGCAGATCAGAGCGGGGAGGGGGGAATCCAGCCCCTCCCCTGTCACGGCAGAGAGCCGTGACAGGATCGAGAGGTGAGCGAACACCGGTATGTGTTCGCTCACCTCCCGATCTACTGAGCCGACCTGTGACAGTCTCATTGTCACAGGTCGGCTAGAACTATGAGGTGAGTGAAGAGCACTCACCTCATAGTTCTCCTTTAATCTCCTCACTTCTAGAGTGAACAAGTTTAAATTTAGTAACCTTGTCTCATAGCTTAGGTCCTCCAGCCCCTTAATTAGTTTAGTTGCAAGGACATCCCTACTGTGGATTGGTGACCAAAATTGAACAGCTTACTCCAGAGGAGGCCGAACCAGTGATCTATAAAGTGACAAAATTATCGCTTTGTCACTACAGTACATTCCCTTTTTAATACAAGACAGTACTCTGCTTGCTTTGTTTGCTGCAACCTGGCATTGCATGCTATTGTTTCATCTGTGGTCTACTATGACCCCCAAATCTTTTTCCATTTCTGAATTCCATAGTGGATTACCCATTAATATGTATTCCTCTTGACTGTTTTTGACCCTAAAATGCATTACTTTATATTTTCAACATTAAACCTGATCTGCCATATAGTTGCCCACTCCCATCCAGGTCCCTCTGCACTATGTTATAGTGTCTAAGCCCATGTCTATTACTCTCCCAATTTTAGTATCATTAGCAAACACAGAAACATGGCTATTAACACCTTCCGTGAAATCTTTAATAAACAGGTTAAACAATATAGGGCCTAAAATAGAACCCTGTGGCACGCCACTCTCGACCTTAGACCAATCTGAAAAAGAGCCATTTATTAATACTTTTTGGACATGTTCCTGTAGCCAGTTCTCTATCCATGTACACACCATTTCATCTATGCCCATAAGCCCTCAGCTTGTGTAGTAAGCGTTTATGTGGTACCGTGTCAAAAGCTTTGGCAAAATCCAGATATGCCACATCCACCGGCTTCCCTCGATCCAGATCTCTACTCACCTCTTCGTAGAATGTCAGTAGGTTGGTCTGACAAGAACGGTCCTTCCTAAATCCATGCTGATTATCATTTATTATACCATTGCCATGAACAAAATCCACTAAATAGTCCTTTATCATTCCCTCTAACAGTTTGCATACTATTGGTGATATGCATTAGAATTTAATTGTGCATGATATCTTGTAGAGCATGATCCCCTGAAACACTGGTTGATAGAAAGGATAGATATGTAACATGAAGTCTTGTTGCCTGATCACAGAAGTTAGCATAGACTGTAGAACAGTAGAAAGGCATCATGGCACACTCACAAACCAGCATGTAAAACAACTTGTCTCACCACTGAGGTTAATAACAGAGGTTTGGATACACGTCTTCTGCAGAAAATGTGAAAGCCGCACTGCCGGGCCAAGGCCCCTCTTATAGTGCGGTCCTAACTTTAAACTATGAGAGTCTCCATCTTGGAGCACATGGGGGCAGAAGATTTCAAATTGGGTGCAGGTTTGTCAGGAGGAAGCCCAGCCTCCTTTTGTTTTGCTTGACAGAATACACTGTAGGACATTTACCAATTATTTTGCACAGCAAGCAATGCTAAAGAGGAGACACATTACGAGACAGAATGCAGCCTGACATGCCTACAGCCCTGACATTCATACATTCCTCCTTCTGCTTCTCTGAAGTAGCACTACAACAATTTAAAACCTGCCCCTAACCACTTCCTAGTTGTGCATTTGTTTTAAATGAGAATCTGTCTCATATACAGTGTTTAATCTGTCACAGACATTTTCAAAGCTGTCTGTTAGTTATAAACAAAAAACTTTATTCAGAAAAACAAGTAAGTATAGCCTGGAATACCTGGAAAGTAAAGAGCCTAGAGCTCCACCTGTTGGCTGAAATGAGAATACAAAATGCAGTCAAACATATTTTAAACTATTTTATTTTTAGTCCTGACAATAATAAAGAAAAAAAATACAAAACCACTATGCATTCTATTTGATGACAGCTTTCTTTAAACCAACAGTTTCTTTCTAATATAACAGGCTCTCTTAGCAGAAAGATTTTTTTTGCACGTACTAGTCTCCTACAGAATAAATTTCTTGCAAGAGTAGCTTCCTCTTATTCGATCTGTTTATTATAATTCACAGCTCTCTGTAACATGGCATCCTTGTAACATGTAGCTCTACCATAATAGATAAAGAGTTGTATAGCAGAAGAGACTAACAGTAAGTTTTGCACTAACATGTCAGTCTCCTGTACCATATATCTCTTCTCTCTCTGGCATGACAGTCTCAGCACAAGTTTTCATTCTCTATAAACGTTTGTGCCTACAGGCTTCTAGTTGTGTGTGTTATTAATTGCCCGGGATATCATCTTTTCATTATTTTATTGGTTTGGTTGCTATCTTAATGGAATATGAGAATGTGGATTATTTCTTCATTTTCTTGTGTGGGAAAAAAAAAATAATGTCTCACAATAATAATTTAGCACTATACAAGACATGTACAAAGAAAATACAGTATGTTGCTTTCTGTCCTTTAGACAAAAAAGAAAGAAATTAGGTCATGTTTTTTATATTTTGGATGAAATGATAATACATTGTGTTTTTATTGTTGTGATTGATATTGTACACACATTTTTTTTAGGAAATGGTGGTGAGGGTCACAGGAAACAGTTGATTAGGGATGCGCAAGATAGTTGGCCTAAGGGAGCAAAAAAAACAAAAATTCAGACCCCCCCCCATCAAAAACATAGGTCAGCTTGAACAAAATAGCAATTTAGCTATTCTTGATTTTACACTTGTATTTGGAAGTACAATTGTTTACTTATGTATCTCTGTATTGAGAATTGTGTGCTTCATACTTTCCTATTGTTTGAAGTGTGTGTTTTTACATTACAAAAATGTATGGAATTGCTATGTTGACTATATAAATAATGTAAGTTGACATACATAGCCGAAGGCATATGCTGTTTTATTATTATTTTTGTATAATATTAATACTCATACGCATGTCTAAACAAATGTAATCTTAAAGTTAAAAGGAGAACAATGGGGTTAGGGCTTTTCCCCATAGTTCTCCTTAGGGTCACCCTAAGCTCAGTATACCGCGAGCTACAGCTCGCGGTATACTGAGACGCCGCAGCTGAAGCGGATCCCGACAATTATGTCTGGATCCGCCCAGCTGCGTGAGTGACAGCTGGCTCTGCCTATCTAGAGGCAGAGCCAGCTGTACCCGCCCCCTCCCCGTCCGTTCCGCCAGTCAGCGCTGGAGGATCTGAGCCGGGAGGGGGGAATCCAGTCCCTCCCCTGTCACGGCAGAGAGCCGTGACAGGATCGAGAAGTGAGCAAACGCCAGTATGTGTTCACTCACTTCCCGATCTACTGAGCCGACCTGTGACAGTCTCATTGTCAAAGGTCGGCTAGAACTATGAGGTGAGTGAAAAGCACTCACTTCATAGTTCTCCTTTAAAAAACTTTTTAAATTACATGTGTTCATGTTTTAACCCCTATTAACACTTATAGGGTTATTCACAAAAGGGTGAAGGGTTTGGAGAAGGCAGGAGAAGTGAACTATCTAGGACGACATAGCTGAACTGGAAAGTGAGATGAATTGGAGAATTTTTCCAAATCAGCTATGTTGTCCTACATTGTTCACTTCTCCTGCCTTCTCCAAACTCTTCACCCTTTTGTGAACAGCCCTGTTAGTTAAGCCCAGGGCTGTAGCTACCATGGGGCGAGTGATGCACTCGCCTCAGGCGCAGCTGATACGGGGCGTAGGCAGGGCCGGCCAACACAGCTATTGGGAACAGGGGCGCCAGGAGGCCAACACAGCCGCAACTCGGCAGGGAGAAGGAGTGGCACATGCTCCAGGTTCTCCACGGACCCCCGCTGCTCTCCCCCACCTGTATGGGCAGAGGACTCTGTGTCCTCAATCTCTTTTTCTATTTCTTTTGCCTACAAACGTCAGGTGGTCATAATAATATGGCCAGTGTATGCCCCATGATTTAAAAAAAATAGAAAATTAGGCAAATATCTAATTACTGACCTGTTCCAGCACCGTTTGTTTCTGGCTGAAGATCTCCTGGCTCATGAACGGCTGTGAAGGAGGAAGTGTGCGGGTGCATGCACAGTAGAGGGGAGGAGAAAGAAGAGAAACGAAAGTGAATGGACACAGCCTGGCAGCAGGGAGCGTGCACGTTCGACAGACACTGTGGGAACCGACGAGTCTGCGGTGGATCCCGAGACTGGCACCAGTGTTGGAGGGACTGTCGTTAACCAGTGGAATAAGGAAGATGATCGGATCAAGAGGCATCAAATAGGGTAGGTGCCCACAGCAGCATTGGGGGATGGGGGGGGACACAAAAACCTATAATGTCACTTTAAGCCTATCTACCTGCAATATCGAATTTGGCCACTACATGGAGCCTGAGGGAAATATCTCTGTTAATAGCAGCTTCAGAAAAACACTTCCATCACTTCTCAGCCCAAGGAGAAGAAAACAGGTGCATCTTGGGAGTTCAGACTCCATTTTAGGACTGAAGAAGAGGAGCCATTACCACCTGCAGCACATGTCTAGAGGAAAGAGCCTACATTCCCTTAGGCAGCATTGCGGGTAGGATTGGACTTGTTTCCCACTGTACTTATAAGCTAACACTGTATTTACATGTTTTCAATATTGATTGTATGCTCTTTTTTTTACCAGTTTCACCCCATCCTGTTTTGTTAATAAAGCATCAAGATTTTACTAATTCTAGCTTTTTGCAGAATAGGAGGATTTAGCTGCATTTCAAGCTATACACAGGCCACAGGGCAACATGTAGCGGGGACAGAACAGGTGTACTGCACCATCAAACCCATGAAGTACCTTTAACCCCTTCAGGTGGGTTCACGGAAATACACATCACCCGCTTGAAGTCGTGTTCTTGCTATCATTTTTAACAGCAGGCGATTTTCTGTACAAGTGATCCGGCTTCTGTTCAGGCGCTGGATCGTTTGTACGGTGAGATGCTGTGTGCTCCCTCCGCCGCCTTCCCGAGGCTCCAATGTCCCACCTGAGGGCCTGGGACTGGACTGGTGGGTCTCCCCTAATAGATCGGAGGGAGATCAGCAGGCTTCTAGCCGCTAATCTCTCCTCCGATCACTGGACCCGGAAGTGATGTGTATTGCATCACTTCCGGTGTCACTGTTTACAGTCTCCGGCTCTTAGAGCCAGGAGAAGAAGCTGGTGAAGCAGATCTCTGCTTCATCAGCTTCTTTGGGGTCCCTAGTTGACATTAGGGGTCTAAAAGACCCCTGAAGTCTTCATAAAGAAGGCCTGCCACATCCTATTTGCTATTACATTGGGGGCTTATTAGCTTCCTATGTGATAGCAATAAAGTTAAGTGTAAAAAAAAAAAAAGGAAAGTAACATATAAAAAAAAAATCCAAAAATAAATTTTTTAAGGTCTGCAGCCCTCCACGTGCACGCACATATAACGCAAACTCGCATTGGATGCATCTATGTACAAAAACGGAAATTGGGCCACACATGTTACATGTTGCCATCAATGTCGGAGTGACAGCAATAATTCTAGGCCCACTAATCACTGGTAACACTAAACTAATGAGCGGTAAAAGCTTTTAAAGCGACGCCTATGGGAAATTTGGGGCAATTTTTAAGCTTGACATGTTTGGTGTCTATTTACCAGACGTGACCCCATCTTTTATATTTTACTACAAAATTGGGTACTAATAAATTTTTTCTAACATAAAGTAGGGAAAACTGTTTGTTTTTTTTTCCAAAATGTTGGGTTCTTTTTTCATTATATAGTAAAAAATAAAAACCACAGTGGTGATTACATACCAACAAAAGAAAGCTCTACCTGTCGCCAAAAAATGGCAAAAAATATTAATTTCAGTACAGCGTTGTAAGACGGAATAAATGTCAGTCAAATTACTGCAGCGCTGAATACTGAAAAATGGCCTGGCCAGGAAGAGGATTTCACACCCCGGCCAGCAAGTGTTTAAAGATCATCTGGCTGCAGATGAAAAGATGCCTCATACATTTCACAATGACTACAATAGTTTAAATAAACCCTAAACTCAGTACAAAAATGTCATAAGAATGAGTCATACAGTACAATGGTATCTATTTTCACACTACAGAACGGTATAAATTCCTACTAAGCCTTAGGAGTTTATCCAACATGGTTACAATAGAAGAACAGCGCAGAACAACTTCAGGTAAAAAAAACAGCCTCCATTTCCTTGGACAATATATCAACCACCCAAAAGGGAGAACCATGTCTCCTTGGTGGTCATGTATCCCCCTTTTAACTTTTAATTAAAGAAAAATCAAATGAAAGTAAACAGTAATATACAGAGGTGACAGCCTACAGGATACAGTATACATTCTAAATGCCACCCTCTTGTCCTTCAAGCAGCCAACCAACCTAAAACAAACCTGTGAACAACATATGTCCATACTTGCAAAAATGGTCTGAAACCTGCAGACAAAAATACACCACTAACGCTCTGAGTAGGTAAGGAGTATTAGGTGCATATTTTATTGTAGGTCTTCCAGTGTGGTGGGTCTGATTACATACATGCACATCAAGACTTTATGGACAAACATTTTGTCAGGGGATAAACAAGCATCAATTTACTATTGTTGGCTGCACACTTTTGCAGAACTGTCCACAATACAGATGCTTTGATACACATTTTTAAATAGCTTTCTTGTTCCAGTGATCTGTGTAGCCCGATCTATATTTTAATTTTTTTTTTTTTTGCTTTTAGTGCCGTGCTTGTTAGTGCCGTGCTTGTTGAAATAAGTTTCTAATTTTGGGGTATTTGTATGATATCATGTCTGATATGGAGAACTGAATATTCTGGATAGTCTGCATAACAAAAAATAATCAGTTAGCAAACAAAGAGCCTATATTTTTACTTTCAAAAAATCCCTTCAATGTAATGACCGCCAGACTCGTGGTCCTGTTTAGAATCCCCAGTATATATTTTTACTTTTTTATGGCTAGCAATGTGTGGTTCTTTAATGCTTGAGTCAATATTAAACTACACAACAGATAGACAGTTTATAATATATTACAGTGTACAAAGAGGACACTGCTAGCTAAATTAAAATAATTGTTATATTGTATTTATTTGTATTTTACTAATTTCAGTAATGTATGCTACCTCCCAAATAAATGACCCATCATGTTATTATAAACTTACAAGATACAGAGACATAGGACTCCAGAGGCTGTTTCGCTGTCCCTCAGCAGATAACTTCCCTTCTTTCCTTTACGCAGCAGAAGAGTTTCACCAGTTAGCTTACTTATGCCTCCATGGTAATAAGGAAGATCCATTTAGTAATTCAGAGAATTATTTACAATATAAAGCAAAAACTAATCAATGTGCATTATAATCTGAATGCTCCTGACCCACAACTCGCAAGCTCTGTGTTTGAAGATGCTAAGAAAACATACCACAAACAGGAAATAAGAAATCATCGGTACAGTCTTCCAGCTGTCTATCAAGGCATTGTACAATAACCAAAAATACTGCTACTAATCTTGTATTCCAGCACTGTCATATAAAATCTGATTAATTAAATCCTGATATTACCATTCTGTGACAAAATATGAACAACCCATTTGGTTGATCAACTTGCAAAAGTGTGCCCATTCCATGGATAAGGTTGGGTATAACACAAACAGAGCACCGGTCAGATCCAGATTTACAGTAGACCAAACAAGGTCCATAGGCAAGTTAGTAGCTTTGAGTCCCAGTACTCCCAAGCCACCCTTATATGTGTATAGAGTTACGTTCTGATGGCATTTTACCAACCTAGACTTGTTGCCAATAAAATGTATGGGATTATGAGGCTGGTATTTTTTTCCCAAAAAGGGAGGCAACCTTATATGCATATTCTGTTCACATATTCCAGTACTATAGGAAAAATAACATTATGGGCTTGCAAATTTATTACATTTTCTGTGAGCAGAGGATTTATAAAACATTTTTAAATAAAAGATGGGAGTCCCAATTTTGTATGCTCTACAAAAAATAAAGCAAATTCTTGCAAAATCTATATTTTTGCAAGAAAAACCCACTAATGCTTAGTACACTTTAACACAGCATAATCTCAAAATGAGCCATTAATTATAAAAAGACAAGACTTTGTGAGTTAATAAATGCCATTTATATATAGCATCAAAATTGCATACACTTACAAAACAGTAAAAAACTATGATACCCAAAATTTTTAGTAGGTGACACATTAAAGAGGAAATGTACCCTTATATTTCAAATGACAACAAAGGCCCCTCTAGATATGTTTAGTAATGACAATCTACAAGCACATTCTTCTAGATAATTGCAGGTTTTTTATTCTTTGCATACCTATTTTTTATTTTCCTTTTCATTCTTCTCACAGTGGCTATTTTTAGTAAGGGCATTATTATTTACTCCCCTTTACTTCCTGGAACTGTGGCACATGTGACTAGGACATGTGATCATGCACATCATCTTGGGGGGGG